CCAGCCCGTGCCCCTGGTGGTGGAGAGCTGTATCCGCTTCATTAACCTCAACGGTAAGCCTGGCACCCAGGACCTGGCACCCATCTAGAGGGGGTGGGGAGAGGACTCAGTGCCCACTGCCTCTTTGTCCTCCTACAGGCCTACAGCATGAGGGCATCTTCCGAGTGTCGGGTGCCCAGCCCCGGGTCTCAGAGATCCGCGACGCTTTCGAGAGAGGTGGAGACAGGCAGGGTAGGGTGGTGGTGGGGGGCTGGCTAGAATGTGTGTGACCGACCTTCTTGCACCCTGTGCTGTCCTCAGGGGAGGACCCACTGGTGGAAGGCTGCACGGCCCACGATCTGGACTCCGTGGCAGGAGTGCTGAAACTCTACTTTCGGAGCCTGGATCCCCCACTCTTCCCCTCGGACCTGTTCAGAGAGCTTCTGGCCTCTGCTGGTGAGGCCGGGGCCTGAGGTCGGCTGCGTGGGAGGGGCCAATCCCCAGTGGCTGTGTCCCCGCTCATGGGCTTCTTTCCTCTTTGGGGTGGTGGCCTTGGCCACAGAGCTGGAGGCCATGGAAGAGCGGGTGGAGCTTGTGAGCTGCCTCCTGGCCCAGCTGCCGGGACCGGTGTTGGTGGTCCTGCGTTACCTCTTCACCTTCCTCAACCAGTGAGTGCTTCTGAGGAGGCAACAGCGGCTGACTGGGGGGGAGGGGGGAGGGTGCTGGGGACACTGGGCATGGAGTTCCCTGCTTGTGACTTGCATGTGCCCCCAGCCTGGCCCAGTATAGCGACGAGAACATGATGGACCCATACAACCTGGCCGTGTGCTTCGGGCCGACACTGCTGCCCGTTCCCGCTGGGCAGGACCCTGTGGCCTTGCAGGGCAGGGTGAACCAGCTGGTGCAGACGCTCATCGTGCAGCCCACTCGGGTTTTCCCATCCCTGGCCCTACTGCCAGGCCCTGTCTACGAGAAGTGCATGGCGCCGCCTTCTGCCAGCTGCCTGGGGTATGCTCTTTGTGCTGCCTGGAGGGGGGCAGCATCCAGCCAAGGGGAGCCCCCTCAAACCACCCATCTTCCTCCCTCTGCTCTGGACTTCAGGGACACCCAGGTGGAGGGCCTGGCAGGGGAGAACGAGCTGGAGCTAGAAGCTGGGACCCCGGCCCAGGAAGAAGGTGAGGGTGTCAGGAAGGAGGACCGTACCCTGTCCCTACCCTAGATGCCCACTTCACCCCTCCCACTGAGATCCCCTCTTCTTCCCAGTGCCGGAGGGGATTGTGGAGGCTGTTGCCTGCTTTGCCTACACGGGCCGCACAGCCAAGGAGCTGAGCTTCCAGCGTGGGGATGTGCTGCGGCTGCATGAGCGGGCCTCAGGCGACTGGTGGTGGGGCGAGTACGCCGGCACTCGGGGACTCATTCCCCACAAGTACATCACATTGCCTGGGGGGTAAGTGAGTGCCATGCTCCCAGGAGGCTCTCCACAGCTTCCCTTCAACCCAGGTCTTGGCCCTGCCCTACCCCAAGTCCCAGATTCTGTAGGCTTTCTGTGTGCCTTTCTGGCTACTTCTGGCTGGCACTGAGGCACAAAGCCTGCTGCCCTCCCCCAGCGCCCTAAACAGGCCACCTTTCTGACCACAGAGCAGAGAAGCACTCGGTGGGCCAGGGGCTGCAGGCTGCAGGGGAGCAGCTGAGCAGTCCAGAAGGCCTCCCGGCCATGGAGTTTGTCCATCGGTGAGCAAAGGGAATTCGGCCCCTCGGGAAGACCTGTTCTGGTGGCCTCACTTGCCCACCCGCACCTGAACCCTGCTGGGGGGCGGCAAGCCTGTCCCAGAGAGCGGGCCATGAGCAGGCTGGAGGGGGCGCGGGTCAGGTTTTGGTCACACGGAGAGGGGCCCGGTTGGGGGAGCGTTGCCTGGGTGAGGGACGTCAACGGAAGGTAGAATGGACCCTCCGGGTCAACTTCACTGTCTTTTTCCCTTGGGCACACCCCGAGATGGGAGGAGCCACTGCCAGTTTAGTACAGGGACTTCCCAGGGCCCCTGCCAGGCTCACTGTCTGTGCCCTGCAGGCCAGAGCCATGTACCTCACCTGGGGGCCCTTCTGGGCACAGACGGCACTGCTTGGTCCCAACCTCCCCAGAGCGACACGTGGAGGTGGATAAGGTGAGAGCGGGGACTTGGCTGAGTGGCAGGTGGGGAGCACGTCTCCTGGGGTGTCTCCGCCTCCCCTTATGAACCAGATTCTTCCCTCTGGAGGTTTGAGTCTGCCCTTCCTGGCCTCAGACTGGCTGCCTGAGGCCAACAGAAAAAGGGACAGGCCAGCAAGGGTATAAGTTTAAGGGGAAGGACGGGCCCAGCGGCAGAGGATGGGGGAACATGGAGGCTCATGCGTTTGGGCTTTATGGTTGGTTGAGTGGGAAGTGGCGAGTGGTATGGACCACGGGCTATTGGGCAGGCTGCAAGGCTGGAATCTGGAGCAAGGCTAGGTGACAGATGGTGACATGGCAGGAGCTTGGTGGGCCAAGGAGGATGAAAGGGACAGATGGAGGAGAGGCTGGAGGGGGTAGCTGGCTGGGGAGCTGAGCAGAGCAGTGGCGCTCTCAGGACGAGGGAGTGGACGCCGTGTGCGGCCGGCAAGGTGTGCAGCCCGGGGAGCCCCCGCTCCCCGCTGTCTGATGAGCCCATCTTGACCCCTGATGGGTGCTTCCTGCTCCCAGCTGAGAGAGAGGCCCGAGGGACAGTCTGAGCTCAAGGAAAGAGCTGGAGAACACACTGTATCCTAGGGGTAGCCCAGTGGCCAGGCCTGGGAGCCCAGGGAGAGGAGGACGAGTTGGACCACCAGGCGGGAGGGCTGGGGCAGGGCAGCTGAGACACTGGGGGGAGGCAGGCGGCAGATAGGGCGAGGCGAGGTGCAGGCGGATGCTGACCTTGCGAGGTCCTGCACGCTGGTGGCCCCCCGAGGTCATGTGGGAGGTCTCAGCCAGGGAAAGAGCGGGCATAAGAAGAGAGGCAGCCAGGGCCCAGCCAGAGGTTCCCCCACAGCGAGACTGGGCTGAAGATTGGTGCCCCTAACGGAGGTTGTGAGAATCACGCCATAAGTAGCAGAAGGTGAACTGGGCAAGGGAGAAGGAACAGCAGCTGTGGGCCCCTACAGAGGAAGGGCCTGGTGACAGGTCGGTGGCCGATGACTTTGTTTTTGGGGTGGGGAGTTCTGGTGGAAGCTTGGGCAGCAGAGGGTAGGAGGGCTTCATTCCTGGGTTAGTTGTCATCACACTGACCTGGGGGTAGGGAGGGTGGCTGGGCCGTGGGGGACAGTCTCACCATACGCCCCGCTTCTCTCACCTCTCCGCCAGGCTGTGGCACAGACCATGGACTCGGTGTTTAAGGAGCTCTTGGGAAAAACTGCTGTCCGCCAGGGTCTTGGGCCAACCTCCACCAACTCTCCCAGCCCCGGACCCCGCAGCCTGAAGCCTGTAGGCTGCAGTCGCGGCGGCAAGAACAAAGCCTTCTCCCGCAGCGCCGGGGCCCCGGTCTCACCCTCAGCGTCCCATCCGCAGGGCATGGACTCACCCCTCAAGCCACACTGAGGTGCTGCTGGCTCCTCAGCAGGCCCCCTGCCACCCTAGGGGATCGCCGGCAAGACTCTTCGCCCTTCCCAGGCCCTTTGCTTCTCCCCGGCCCTGTCCGGCAAGCACTGAGCACCTGCTCCTGACCCTTTGCAGAGAGAAGGACGTGGCTGCCCAATCATGCCCCTGCCTGCCCCAGCCCTGGCTTAGGCCCTTTTGGGAGGCAGCCAAAGAGGGAGGCTGGGGGCAGGCCCCTCCCCAGCTTTTCTGTGAGGGCTGTTGGGTGGTGTGTGCCCTTGCTCAGATGAGCACGCCCATCGGTGCCCAGGCCCTTCTCTGCTTCAGCTGAGGACGTGAGACTGGCAGGGGTTGGCAGCCATCCATAAAGACTGTGCATTGCCTCCCCAACACGAACCAGTTCTCTTGTGTTGGTGGACTGGGCAGGTGGGTACAGGGCCAACCCCCCCGGTACCCTCACTGCTTGAGGCCAGATGCCAGGGCGCTCAACAAAGGCAGAAGGTTGGGCAGCTGGAACAGCCTCTGCAGGGGTGGGGGAGACTTGGCATAGGGCTCTGTGAGTTGGGAACTTGTATATTTGAAGGCTCAGTCACCTGCCTCTTGGGTTCCAGAGTCATACATGTGTCCATGGGTGTGTGTATGTGGGGGGTTCAGAGAATCTCTTTCCATGCCACCTTCACACCCACTGTTAGCCTGATCCAAGGAGACTCACTGGGTGGAAAATGAGCTGATGCTTTTATTATTACAGAGAGAGTGAGAAAGGACGGCAGAGGGCAACTAGAGAGGTGAAGGAAGGAAGGTCTCCTGGCCTCACCCTCTACCCCTCCTCCTGGGCTCCCTGGGACCTCTATTTCATGGGCAGGCACTGCCTGGGGTGGAAGTCACGGGCCACACACCACGCTGCGGCAGCCCCTCCTCATACCCGGCTCCAAGGAGCTCACCTCCTGGGCCCCTCACGATCCAGAGCTGATTCCCAGTTGGCCCTCCTCTCCCTGTGAATGCCAGGGACAGCCCCTTGCAGGCAGCTGAGCTTTGTGGAGCCTCTGGAAGGAAGGCGCCCCCTGGCTTCTCAGGAGGAAGTGTCCTTGGCCAGGAAGGAGCTGGCAGTGGCACAGGACTCCTCTTGGGGCCCCAGGCTGGGCGGGGTGCGCCTCCAGGCGCAGCAGAACAGGCTGCGCAGTTCTGAAGAGACACTGCTGCTGAAGGAGGCATAGATCCAGGGGTTGGTACAGCTGTTGAGGCTGCCCAGCAGCATGAGCAGCACAAAGGGGGGACCTGTGTAGGTGGAGAAGGGTTGTGGCTGAGGGTGCCCAGGCAGGCGTGCGACCCCATGGGCCCACTAGGGGCTAGTGATCCCACATCTGGACGTATGTGTGTTTGTGTGTGGGGGGCGGGGTAGGGGTGTATATGCATCCAAGCCCCAGCCCTCCCCATAGCCCTAGCCACAGCCACACCCACCTTCCAGAGGCGCGTCCGGGTCCCATGCTGCCCACAGCTGTACAAGGAAGAAGGGCGCCCAGCACAACACGTAGACGATCACAATCACCAGTGTCATCCTCACAGTCTTGGCCACAGCTGCTGACACAGGGGCTCCCTCGCCGGGACTGCTTGTTCGGCACCCTCCTCGGCGCCCCCCACCCCTCTCTGCTGGCCGTGGCACCAGGCTGGCATGAATCTCCCGGAAGATGAGCACCTGACAGGCAGCGATGCCCAGGGCAGGTGCTACAAACACCATGAGGGCAATCCAGGTGACATAGGCACGGACGCCCCAGGGCTCAGCAAAGTGGGCCCAGCAGTCGAAGACCCCGCTGCCATCTCCCACCTCACGCTGGGCAAAGATGAACAGCTGGGGCAGGCTGAAAAGGAGCGAGAAGGCCCAGGCCACCAGCACTGGCCGGTTCCAGTGAGTTCCACCTCCGTGGCGGTATGCCAGCATGGGACGGCAAATGGCACGGTGGCGGTCCAACGTCATGGCCAGGATCATGTAGGAGGAAGCATACATGCCCACCATCTGCAGGTACTTGATGGCCCGGCACAGGGCATCAGGCCCTTGGAAGCGGTCGGTGGCATCCCAGGCCAGCTGGGGCAGCACTTGGAACAGAGCCACGGCCAGGTCAGCCAGGCACAAGTGGCCAATGAAGACGTGCATAGGGGCCCAGCGGCCACGACGGCCCCGCCGCGCCAGGGCCCCCAGCACCAAGCCATTGCTCAGGGCCACAGCCACAAAGACTACGGAGAGCAGGGCCAGCTCCGCCTGGGCTAGCAGCTGGTCCCGGGTGTCCACAGGCTCTTCCTTGCTGCTGTTTCCAAGTGGGAGAGGTGGAGAGAGCGGTCGAAGCACAGCTGGGCAAGGATAGGGGAAGAGGGCCAAGTTAGGAAGTGTGCTGTGCAGGGGGATCAGAAAACCCAAGGAGGTTCCAACTAGACGGGCAGAGCCAGGGACCGGGATCTTCTGCTTCCCTTCCACCAGCCGAGCACGCATCATCTCCCCGCCTCGCGTGATACGGAGGGAAGGGCAGCCCCAGCCCCCAAGGGCAGCCCCGAGAGAAGGGCAAAGGAGGCCTCTGAAAAAGGAGCTTCTTGGCTTCCTCCAACCCCACTCCGGCCAAATCCACTCAGCCCACCTGGCTCATCCCAGTGCAGGGAGGAGTAGGGACCCAGTAGCTAGAACCTTACCAGAGGTGGTGGAAGCCACGAGCATGGTGGGGCCGGGGCGGGTGTCCTGAACACCTGGAGGAGACAGGGCGGGGAGCTCAACCTTCCATCCAAAGGGCCGGCACCGCTGCCCAGAGTCTGGACAGAGGCCCTTAGAAAGGCGCCAGGGTGGCAGAGTGTGTGTGCGGTGGGGTGGGGGTGGGGGTTCCAGCCTGTGCATGCAGCTCTTTTCCAGAGATCAGGAGCTGGGCGTGCACCCTTAGCTCGATCAAGGGTGGTGAGGTCTGGCCCCACTGAGCCAAGCGTGGACCTCGGGACCCTGCTACGCTCCTCCCCGGACTCGGCAGAGGAAGATAGAGAGAGGGACAATTAAACAGATGGACAAACTGAGCCTAGGACCCATGTGGGCAGTCCACGAGACCCAAGGCAAACGTCTAGAACCTCCTACGCTAACAGAGGCCAAGAGAGGGGCCATAGGAGGGCTGAGGGCTGAGCGGGAAGGGCCAGTGTGGCCCCGGGACCCCTTGCAGCCCCTTACCTGAGCGGGCTCCTGCGTTCCTGGGAAGCTGCGCGGCAGCGGGCTCAAAGGTGTCCCAGGAGCTAAGATCTGCTCTCCATCGCCTGCCCCGCCCCAACCCAGCCTCTGGGAGTGACCTGCCCAGGAGGGGACTTCCTCCCCCCCCTCCCCAAGCACCTCCCCTGGCCTCCTGCCTGTGGCACCGGGAAGGACTGCTTCCCTTCCTGCCCCCAACCCCTCCCGGGCCTTTTCCCAGGACTCCTTTCCCCTACTCCATTCCTGAGGGCGTTAAGGCTGGTCCCCATCTTGACCCATCTGTGATCTCGAGGCCAGCTACCCTCGCCCTTCTCTGTTCTGGGCTGCCCCCACCCCTGCAGGGCCCAGCCTGCTAGAATGTCGGGTCTGGCGGGGCTTTGGGAGAGCACTTGTTCAGGGTCTCCATTCTAATTGGGGAAACTGAGACCGGAGATGGGTGAGACTGGCTCAGGATCTTAGAGCTTTTCTGTGGCACAGCTTGATTCCTCTTTCCCAAGCCAGGCTCCTTCCGTTCCTCTTTGGGAAGGGGTAAGGAAAGGGTGGGAGCTCAAGGAATCCCCACTAACACAGAGGGACGGCCCTCCCGGGCCCATGAAGGCCCCTCCCCCTCCTCAATTAGGGCCAGCCGGAGACGAGGGACAGGAAGGGAGGAGGTGGGGTGAGATCAAGCCAGGTCTTAATATGCCCTGTGAGATCCGGTTTCCTCCTCAAGGCCCAGTGGGAGCCAGGGACCCCCTGCCCTCTTCCTCCTCCCCCACCTGAAACTACCTGTCCGAGGAGGAGGGGGCTTCTGAGCTCCTGCGTTTATGCATATTCCAGCTCTCCCTCTCCCTCGCCCTTCCCTCAATCCCCTCTCCTCCCTGTCTCTCTCCCTCTTCCCCTCTCTCTCCCTCTTACCCCTCCACACACACACACACACACACACACACACACACGCACGCACGCACGCACGCATGCACGCACACACCCTCACATATGGCCACAAACAGCCATATGCCCACAAAAGCATACACACAGCGTCGTAGACAGGCATACATGGACATTTGCGCACCCTGTGTGGAGGGCCTGAGAGAGGAGCTCCCTTGCCAAGGTCTGTAGGGAATGACCTTCCCTGCTTCCCCTCCCCTTCTCAGGCTCCAGGACTCCCTCCGACCTCCAGCCCATCAGTTTCCCCATCCTGGGCACCCTCTTTCCACCCTCCCCTGCCCTAGCCACAGGCCTTGACCTCCTCAGCTTAGGCTGGTGCAGCCCAGCCCAAGGCAGTGGCCGGCACACTGCTAAAGGCCAGGCTCTGGGCTGAGTTCAGCTCTTTTTTCCTGTTTGTCCATCTTCTCTGTTGACCTGCAAGCCTAGAGACCAAAACAGCCCCTCAATGACCAGGCCCAAATACAACCAAGGCCAAGGCCCCCTCTTCCTAGCTAGAGAGACTGGCTGTGCCCCAGCCCCTAGCCTTTGACCGGGCACCAGGGGATGTGAGGGCAGGTGTCTCATACACTCAGCACCCCCCCCCCACCCTACACACTGCACGCACAGCATACGGCAACACACGGCACACACTGTTCCTACACATGCCACACAGAGAGCACCGGGTACACACACATGTACAGCACACACATACACCCTACCCCCAACATTACACATGCGCCAGCCTGGAGTGGCCTCTGTGGCCTCGGTCCCCAAGATTCTCCCAGACCTGCAGGAGCTGTGGGATCTCCCTGGTCCACACCAGGGACTGAGGTGCCTGCAGAGGAGCATATGTCCCTGCTTTGCCATTCCCCAGCTGTGTGACCTTGCACAGGCTATGCCCAGCTCTCTGCACCTCAGCTTACTCCTCTGTATACTGGGAATCTAATAACTGAAGGTCAGCCCGTGGTGATAGGATGGGCAAAGACCTGGAGCCGGCAGGTGATGAGCCTCCAGGAGCAACTGCTTTCACTACATGCAGGGCAGTGCTAGAGGCTGGGGAAGGAAGCTCCTGGGACTCGTCAGGAAGTGGTACCAGTCTTCCCAGACAATCATTTCCTTATGAGTTTATCTGCTTGGATTTGATAGAGGCCATGCAGGGCTAGATCCCAGTGGAGAGCTGCTGCGGGGCGGGGCCCCTGAGCCATGAGGCCAGGCCCGTGACCATCTCTGTTCTGTGCACTCCTGGTTTCCTGTTGTTGAGCCCAGGGAAAAGTCTTGGGGAAGGCCACACCCCCCACCCCCACCCCCCACTGCCGCCGCCCTCCCCCTGGTTTTCTCTGGGCTCCGAGAAGCAAGGGGAGGGGATTGTGTTAAGGCCGGAACATAAAGGGAAGCTGCTCACAGAACTGCTCCCCCCTCCCGTCAGCCAGGACCTCTGAGGAACTGAGACCTACCAAGGCAGAGGGTGTGCCAAGGAGTCTGGTTCTTCAGCGGAGAGCCCTGAAGGCTCAGGAACCCATGGTGCATGTGCTGGCGCTGTGCCAGGTGAGAGGCTGGGCCCAGCTGAGTCCCATTGCCTATAGGAAGGAGCCGGTCAGAGGTGAGAGGCTCCAGGCAGGCCCCTCTGGGGACAAGAAAGATGGGGCTTGGCAGCAATTTATAGGGAGAAAGGCTGACTGGATTATTCACGGTCAGGGCCACGTGAGTCAGCAGAGAGAGCACTGGGCTGCCCAGAAGCCCCTGTGCCCTGGCCAGCGTGAACTGAGAGCAGGGCACCTATGTAGAGACAGGCAGATGAGTGGGGTCCTGGAGAGGAGAGAGAAGGCAGGATCCATAAGTGTTTGAGGGGGCGGCCTAACTGGCCCAAACTCACCCCGGGGAGCACTGGGAAACTCGTTTGTTCTGGAAGGCTGGAGAAGGGCCTGGCCATGAGGCTGACCTGTTACCCTCAGTGGATCACAGGCCTGGACAGGGCTGAGCAGACACCCTTCTCATACACTCAGCCCCCCAGAGCAGGCCTCTCTGCCCTGCTTTCCACCATCTGCCTCTAAGGTTGCATCTGCAGAAAGAGTTCTGTGGGTGGTCAAGGTGTGTCCTTTGTTTCCACTATCCCGATGTCTGAGCAGAAGAGGACGGGAGGCCCCCAGGAACCAGGGGCCACTGACCGTCCCAGGCATCGGCTGCCGGGGCAAGAGATCCAAGCGGGCAGGACCCCAGGTCTGCCCGTCCTGCTCTGTGACTGACTCTCTGTATTCAGAACCTTTTGCTCAACAAACAGCGAGTTCTTCTGGCCCCGCACCATGGATGCGGCGGTGAAAGGCAGACGCGCTGCCGCGCTGCCGGAAGGAGCACAGGGTTTTGTGTGGAGGCAGTGGGGGCAGAGTCCAGAGAAAGTGCCCAGGAGAGAAATGGTGGGACATGGTCAATGCTACCGGGTAGTGGGGATGGAGAGGAAAAGCATTTCGTGGGCCCTGGACAGATTGTTGAAAAACATTTGGGGAAAAAAGAGTAAGAGGAGCCGGCCGAGGACATGGAAAAGAAGTGATGGAAAACCAGGAAACCAGGAGAGCTTGCGTTCATAAGCCTGGGAGGAGAGACGGGTGCCCCAAGGGAAGAAGGACAAAAGCAAAGCTGCTGAGAGGCCGTGCCCAGGAAAGGAGACAGGAGCCCCAACTGGGCATCCCTCCTGACTGGGTGCGCATCACAGAGGGTGCATCCTGTGTGGCAGTGAGAAGAGTGAATGCACTCATACCGACTGAAATGATACATAAGGAGCACAATGAGAGCCCCGTGTCATTCAAATGCCTACGAGAGGCTTGGAGGGAGTGAAAGAGCATTAGGTCAAAAGATGGAATCAAAGCGGGGGGAAGTGTGCATGTGTGCGTGCAAGCCTTCACTGGGACATGCGCGGGCCAAGTACAACAGGAAGACAGGGTGTCCACTGATCTGAGGGCTAAAGCGAATAGTAATTTTCAAAGTTAGACAAAACCTGTTTGCAAGCCGCAGGAGGGAGGAGAGTGGTACCGGATGGATTAGGAGCCCTGCAGGCTGGGAGGGGCAGAGTCCCCAGGAGCCTATGGGGTCACCACTCTCCTGGGCTGAGGAGTGGTATTTTATTAGGATTTTATTTTGCATTTTCCTTATGACTGATGATGGTGAGCATCTTTTCATACACTTATTTGACATTTGTATATATTCGCTGGTGAAGTATCCAGTCAAAACCTTTGTCATTTTTTAAATGTATTGTTTTGAGAGAGAGAGAGAGAGAGAGATCAATTTGTTGTTCTATTTATCGATACATTCATTGGTTGGTTCTTGCGCCTTGACCAGAGATCAAACCTGCGACCTTGGCATATTAGGATGACGCTCTAACTAACAGCTACCCAGCCGGCGCCTGTCCATTTTTTAAAAGTTTTCTCAATTATTGAGTTTTAATGATTTCTTTTTCATTTTTAAACATATTTTGGTTACAGATCTTTTAGCTGATATGTTTTGCAAATATTTTCTCTCAGTCTGTGGCTTGCCTTTTCATTTTACTAAAAGTATTTTTGAAAAAGCAAACTTTTTAAATTTTGATGAAGTCTAAT